CTGAACCACATCCCCAGCCCAGCCTTTTCATTTTAAAGCAGGGTCTTTCTAATTTGCAGAGCCTGTCCTAGAACTTACAATCCTCCTGCCTCAGCCTCCTGAGTGACTGGGATTACAGYTGTGTGCCACCATGCCTGTCCTTGGCCCAATTCTCATAGACCTAGAAAGAAGGGGCACTCTTCTGCATGYTGGCAGTTAGAATTATGAAGAATGCTGTTTATATTGTTTCCATTTGTTTGAAACATGTCCTGTCACTGGGGTCCCATCCAAAGCAGCAACACTTTCCCCCTCTTTTGGCACCAGGGCTGGAAGGGCTCCTAGAAAGACCAAGGATCTCAGGTATTGGCAAAGAGGTCAGTGTGCCAGGCCAGGCCAAGCCTAAGAGAGCTTGCCTGGGCATCCTGGGGGAACGGGCCGGGTGGGGTGTGGATYGGTGCAGACAGGAAGGTGTATACTCACGGTCTGAACTGAAGTCATCCACTAAGATGATCTCCTGGATCAAGTTGGCAGGAGTTCGGTTCAGGACACTGGAGCAGCAATGGGGACAGAGACAGAGTCTGGATTTGGGGCGACCTCCTATTTATACCTCCCTGGACATGGGATTCTCCTACCACCCAGCTCTAGGACCAGCACATTGGTCATGGTCAACTGCTTGCTAACTCTCTGGGCTCCTGGAAGAGCTCTCTGAGCTTTTCTAAGGACCTGGTTGGCACTGTTGCCTGGGCCCTCAGGGGACTGCATTCATGGGGTCGKCAGGGCAGGAGCTACTTGAGCTGCCTGAGGCTCACCAAGCCACCCTGGGAGCCCAGCTGGATGGAGCTGCCTGTTTGGAAGGCTGGCGAGACTCCTGCTGGCCCCAAGGTCATTCTCAAGGAGCTCCTGCCCCCTGCCCTTCCTCTGTCCCTCTTCTGCCCCCCTTGTCTGGGAAGGGACACCCAAGTTTCTTTAATCCATGGAATACCACTGAGCACTCCTTTCTGAATCCCATTCTTGTCTAAGTTCATTGARGAAATGGGTCAAGAGTGGATTGAACTTGACGGTAAGACCAGGATTAGGAGGACAGAGGGACACCTTTCTCTGATTCGCCAACAGGGACCTATAGGGTTTGCCACCCCCACCTCTGGAGGCCTCTGTTCATCCCTGCCTCCCTCTGCTCCCACCCCCTGCATTTCTGCCCTCACCCTGGACACCTGACCTTGTCTTCAACTCCTTGTAGACTCCTGGGATCTCTCTGACCCCCATACACACTAGCCCCAGCTTCCTGGAAGGACAGGATTCATCCTCCCAGTGCTCACTGGCTTTCACATGGTCTGATCTCAATCTCAACGTCCTGCCCGGCCAGAGGCACTGCAGACCCCCAAGGCTTTGGGGAAATGGCACCAATGAAATGCAGGTGGGTGGCTGGCCTTACCTCTTCACCGTGCGCAGGAGTGTGGAGCGGGCCTCATTGTGAAAGGTGATGATGATGCTGGTGGCTGGCAGGTCCAAGGAGTAGGACACCGATGGGCAACTGAAAATGGAGCAGGGAGGAGAGGCCAGCCATGGGGACATCCTCAGACAGCCTCCATGTTTCTCTTTGTCCACTCTGTGCCCCTTACAATACTTCTGTGAGGCAGGGAAGGCAAGCTGGAAGCCAGGACACAGGCTCCCTGCGTCTCCGGACCATGCTCTAGCCCACAYTGGCTTGGCCCCAAGATGCCACCTAGCCTGGGGTCTTAGGAGGGAAGCAGCAAGTTGGGGGCATCTCCAGGCCTGGGAGCTCCTAACCAAGCCCCAGAGAACCCAGAGTCACACCCTCTGCCTGTTGGGAGGGCTCCCTGCTGTTCAGGCCCCCCCCCCCACACACACACACACACTAGGCCCCAGGGCACTGCCTGGAGTCAAACAAAAAAACTGTCCCTGCAGATGGGACAGTCTGGTGACACAACATAGGGATACAGGATAAAATGGAAAACCACCTCCCTTTTGTCTTCTGGTCCCCTGCGGCTTCTTCCTTCCCTTCTCGCACCTCAGGACATGTGGGAGGATCTGGGGAGGAATCACTCCCACCTGCCTAATGAGCATCCCTGTTCTGCCTGCGCACAGCACTGTGGGAGACACCAGGCAGGGGGCAGGCACCAGTGGCTCCAGGGGAAACCAGCCTCAGAGAGGACAAGAGCATCTCCGGCCACCCTGCTTCTACCCCACTCTGCCATCCACAGACACACATTTTTGGACCACTGGCTCCCCGTCCTCAGGAAGGGGAGTTAGAAATCACCCTTCCTGCCAGCCTTCCCCCCCTGGTGTTTATGCAGGCTCCTGGGCAGGCGGGAAGGCGACTGCCACCGCGGGTTTTCATAAGCCATCTTTATTACAATCGCTGTCTGACTATTCCAGCAGTGACTATTTTTTCATTATAGAATTCATCCCACGGAGAGCAGCTTCCAGCCTGAATTCCCAGGCCCATTTCCTGCCCTGCAGAGCAGCCTGAGCCAGGCAGGAGTCCCACTAGCCTGGGTCCCCCATGGGAAAAATCCTTCAAGGCTCTAAAATAATTCTCCTTGAGAAAGATGTGAGGCAGCCATCGGGGAGGGACGTTCTCTCTGTCCCTGAGAAGTCACGCTTCCCAAGTGCTTGCTCCCAAATGCCTGCAGACTGGGGGACAGGAGTGGACATGGCTAGCTGAGAAGGGGCATGAGGGTACCCAGCCTCCTGGCACTGACTTCCAGGGCCCCATTCTCTGTCCTTGTTCCCTGGTCATTAGGTGCCCRGGAAGGWGGAAATCTGGTAGCAATRCCTTTCTCTCCCTGAAGGGGGCACACCTACCCACATTCTATCTGGAGGGTGGACTTGAACTCCCACCACCCCTTGTATTCCTCTGAGATGTAGATCAGTGAGGATGGTACCCAGCTCCAGGGAGCCAGGACTACCAGATGGTTTGTCCCCTGCCCCTGCTTTGTCTGGCTGGTGGGATTTTCTCTGGAATCCTAGTGGATCTGTCTTGTGACAGTTTGGAGTCCAGTGGAAACTGCCCCACAGCACAGGGGCTCCATCACGGGAGGCACAGTCCAGCCTCTGCTCCCTCCACACACACACACACACACACACACACACACACACACTTGCACACATGTGCATATGCACACATTTACACCCTGATCCACCTCAGCTTTCAGAGAGGCCCTGGGGCAGCATATGGCACCTCACCAGTTCACCACTACCTTGGATGTAAAGAGTCTTCTTTTACAATGTTCATAGCCTTCATAAAGCCAATCCCTCTTTTTTTTTTTTTTTTTTGTCAAGACTGGTGATTGAACCCAGGAGGGGTTTACCACTGAGCTACACATCCAGTCCTTTTAAAATATAATTTATTTTGAGACAGTATCTCACTAAGTTGATAAGGCTGGCCTCAAACCTGCAATCCTCTTGCCTCAGCCTCCCAACTCACTGGGATTACAGGCATGAGTTAYCWTGCCTAGCAGGCAATCTTTCAATTTCTCAGTGAACACCTGAGAAGGTTCAGGGTGTGAATGAGCAAAGAGGGTGTGCAGAGATGATTCAGGCCAGCCCTCAAGTCACAGATTTGGGACAGCAGATCCTCCCAGCTGTAGGGACTAGGTCAGCCATGGCTAGGGCTCCTATAAAAGGCCAAGAGGAGCTTCATGCTAACCTCATCTGCAGTGCAGGTAGTCACGAGGGAGGACTGCCCCAGGGTTGACTGAGGCCTGGATGTGGCCATCAGACCTGGTGGGGGACCTGGCCTAGTAGCAGGATCATTGACTTRTTTGGTAGCAGGAGGGGAAGCTGACAGTGCTGGGGTGACAGGACARGGGGCCAGGGCCCCTCAGCCCTGGAGAGCCTCCAGACCTCAGGCATGCCTCCAAGTGACCAGGAAGGTTCGAGAACCAGTCCCYCTGCACCCTCATCTCACACGTGTCCTTTGTGTTATGGAGTAGCTATTTCCAGAGTCACTCTCATCTACTCTCAAACTGGGGCCAGTCAGAGGCCCATCCCATCTCTGTGTACAGAGCTGGGTCCAGTGCAGCTCCTGTTTGTCACTCAAAGCTGTGGGTGGGTGGTGGATCCAGCAACAGTGACCTGGTGGCTCTGTTAAATGTCTGCGTGGAGCACAGAGAAGGGCCTGGAATTAGCTGGGGTTGGTGAGGGACCTTCCCAGAGGAGAGGACCTGGAGCCAAGACTTGAAGGATATAGGTGGGGTGGGGGAGGGGCATTCAGGCAGAGGAAGCCTCCTGGTGAAAACGGGGAAGGGAGGAAAGAGGARTAGAGGATTTCAGGAACACTGAGTGCTGGGTGAAAGGGTGACTGGGAAGCGCTTCTGGCTGTGGCTGGGGAGGTGGGGCAGGCAGGCAGGAGGAAGAGAAGGGCCAAGGGCCGTAGGGGGGACGGTCAGAGCACTCCACCATTTGCATGGAGCAGGGCTGGAGGCCCCACTTCAGCTGCCTGCTCCCAAGCCTCCCTGTGGTCCCCTGGCATGTCGYTCTTGCTGGAATGCCAGATGAGCTGCTGAGGGGCCTCCCTGGTCCCAGCTGGGGGTTTCCATGACCTTCACTGACCCCGAGTAGGCCAACAGAATACGGGAGGCAGGAATGTAGCTGGGGTGTGGGTTTTTCAGTGTCTAAATCACTAGACTGAGACTGAGGGAATCTTCCTCATTTCTCAAGTGTACATAAATGAAAAAAAAAAAAAAAAGCTGAACAATATTGGTCCTTTCTCAGCCTTTCTTTTTGGTCCACACAATGGAGGCCATACCTGTAATGGCGAGTGTCCCGGATGGGCCTGTCTGGGCTCAGCTTGTCGCTCTCCAGCTGGTTGAAGGCATGCTGCCTGTAGGGGTCCTCTCCAGCCTTCAGCTGCTTGGCTGACAAGTATGCCTTCTCATCAAAGCCTTTTGAGGGTGTTCCTGTCACCTGAGACGAAGGTCAGCATCAGAGGGGGTACAGGCAGGAGAGTTCCACCATGTGCTGGGTGCTTAGTATACTGTCAGGTGTTAGATAACTACTTTACCCTATTTGTACCCTGGCTCTCCCCCATTGTACAGATGAGGAAACTGAGGCCAAAGAGACTTTTTAAAAAAAGTGCCCCAGATGAGAGCTACTGAGTCATAGGTCTGGATTCAAACAGGTCATTCTGAATTTAAAACTCACACTCTCRACCAAAGCTCTCTGGAGAGGATAGGTCTTGGAGGACACCAGCCTCCCAAAACAAGGTATCCTAAGAGTATTAGAAATCAGAATGGAGATTGCCAAGCACGTTGCAGATTGACCCTCTCCTGGGATTCAAGTGGGCCTTCAAACTCCAGGACTTGGACATCTTACTGGGCTCGGCACAGAGGAGGTGCTCCATCCTTCAAACTCCAGGACTTGGACAAGCTGCTGCAAACGGAACTGCCCACAAAGACAAGCAAGCCCTCACAGGCTAATGCCAGAGCCACCAGAACTCAACCGACGACGCAGCTGCTCTGGGACTTTTGCTAGCTACTGAAGTGGTTCCACATCAGATCCACTGGGTCACTGGCAGTAAGCGCTGGGGAATGATGGATGACAGATGCCACAGCCCAGCTTCTCCCTCCTTAGCCACACCCTGTTCTGTGCTTCCAGAGTCCCCAGTGAGAGACCCTGGGGAAAGACACACAGAGATGAATGGCTGGATGAAGGCATCCTGACACCTGACTACTGGAGCCAAACCTCTGGCCAGATATTCCCCATGAAACCTCACCAACTGTGAGTGCATTCCAACTCCAACTCTTCTTCCCAATCAGAAGCCCTGGGCAGGAGCTCTGGGCCCCTGAGGAAGCAGGAAGAACAGTTAGAATCTTCCATTCACAGAACCCTAGCCTAGAGGAATGGTCCAGCAAGGCGGCTGGACCTGTTGCAGATGGGACCCCTGAGTGGAGAGATTCCCTTTAGAAGGAGGCAGCTCAGAGTCCTCATGTCCCTCTAGAGTCTCACTCCCACCCCACAACTTTCTTGGCCAGGAAATGTTAAAGATCTGGGGAGCTCCAAMCTCCTAAACTGGGGCCCTCTGAGGGGCTGTCATTGTTTAAAAAATATTTTTATTTATATTTTTTTTTTGTATGTGGTGCTGAGGATCGAACCCGGGCCGCACGCACGCCAGACGAGCGTGCTACCGCTTGAGCCACATCCCCAGCCCCTATTTATATTTTTTAGTTGTAACTGAACACACTACCTTTATCTTATTTATGTATTTTTATGTGGTGCTGAGGATCGAACCCAGTGTCTCACGTGCTACGTGAGCACTCTACCGCTGAGCCAGGACTCCAGCCCTGGGGCTGTCATTTWTTTAAGTTGGCCTCCTGTTAGGACAGCCTATAGGGAGCTTCCTGAGAGGAGATCTTGTGTCCCGTGGGCCTGGCCCCATGCTAGCCACAAACGCTCATGGTGTGTGTTCAGAGGGTGACACAGATGCAGATGTCACCCTGTGATATTCTCAGTTGGTGTCATGCCAGGAACTGAGCAGATGGGGCAGAGCTCCACCCCCCCACACACCGGGGTCTCAAAATCCATTTCAGGAAAGACRGAAGRGAGGGAGAGAGGGAGAGGARTGTTCTGGCTTGAGCCCTGGATTGCTAGAAGAATCCAAGCTGTCCAACTCAGTGAGAAAGGAGGGTGTTCCTTTGTATCCCTCCCACCTGGGACAATAATGGCACTAGYGCTGTCCCTACCCTTCCTCCCAAATCTGGGTCAGGAGAATGGAAAGAAGCCTCCATCTAATGGCTGAGGAGCTAAAATTAAAGAAAAACAGCAAAGGGGTGAGTTTTTGAGCTCCCGAAGGGAGCATATATCTCTTCATTATCTTACAAGTCGACTGTGGGAAATAGCCATGTTTATTTATTTAGGACTTACGGCCACTCTGTGGGTTCAGAAAACCTCTGAATCCTCATCCCATACTCACTACTACCCAGTGAACATTGGTGGAGAGCCACCCATCCCCCAGACCTGGGCACCCTCCTGTAGGCATTCATTTGGATCACCTGAGCATTCATTCATTCATTCATTCATTCATTCATTCAGGAACGATGAGCTCACTCCCTCTGTCACTCATTCATTCAGCAAAGCTCTGTAAAGCACCAACTATGTGCCAGGAAGTGGGAGGAAGACTTCTAGGTCTGTCCCCTGCCTGCCCCCCTCACACATCTCACTCACAACTTCCTTGGGCCGCAGAGAATGTTGTGGAAGAACGTCTGCTCAGGCTCTGGCTCTCCAGAGAAGGCCCCGTCTAATAGAGTTAGACGACCTCACAGGTGCCATCAGGAAAAGTCTGTGGCTCCCTCTGGCAGCCCCAGATCCCTGGAGTGGCCTCCTCCAGGTGGACCAGGGTCTGTGGCGAGGCACTTCCGCTGTGAGACAACTTATAAAAGAGGGTGCCATGGAAACACCAGGCCCACTGCCTTCTAGAGGTCCCAGCTCTTCTTCCATGGTGACCCAGCAACCGCTTGTGTTTGGAGCTAAAATATCAGTTGGCCCCGAGTCAGCAAAGAGAAGGATAGACTGAGGATGGGTGGGATGTGGCTCATGGAAATGCCATGCAGGACTCTCACTTCCTCCCTCCTCAGCCCCTCCCCAGCCTCGTCYAATCATCACCCAGGGCCCTTGACCTCTGATGTCTAAGTGCCAGTTCACATACCTGGACCCTAACTCAGGCTCCCTCAGGTGGTTGAACTGCTTWTGCTTTCAATCCCCTTCTTTGATCTTTTAGGACTTGAGTGTCCCATGGATGCTTCTAACTCAGGATCTCAAAGTCCCCACTTATCCCCAGGCAGCTGCTTCTGTAGTCCTGGTTACAGAGACAGCACAAATCAAGGTCATCCTTGATGTCCTCTCCATGATCTGCAGCCTGACTCAGGCCTCTGCCCTGGGTATTAGCAGGTGGTAGGTACTCCATGGATATATCACTATTATTAACTCAACAGATATTTATTGGAAATCCACTATGTGCAGGCACTGTGCCAGACAGAGGCTGGAACACAGAAATAAAAAGCAGGGTGGCCCCGGGAAGAAGAGCCTAGGAATCTGGCCCATCCATGCCAAGCATGGCCATAGAGGGTCAGGAAGAAATCCCCACCTCAAGCTTAGAGCACAGGAGCTGCAGATTTGACCCCAGAATCTCATCTCACCTGACCCCTGCCAGCAGGGGTAGTGACCTGTGAATGCTGTTTTCCTTCTGCCCCCTTCTAAAAGGGAATGGAGAGCTACGATCTCATATTTCCATTCATGTTGCCAAACATGGTGGGGATGAGGGAGTAAATGTGTCATCTGGCCCTGGGGTGCAGGACCATCAGGAGTCATAGCTGGACCAGGTAGAGACTGGAGATGCTGGGTGTGGAGCCCTTTCTGGAGTGACTGAGATACTGTGGCTGTTCGTGGAATCCCCATGTCAGGTTGGGGCATCTGAGACATGCGCTGACAGTGCTCTTTCCTCTTACTTTTGCAAGAAGGTGTGTTGTTCATCTGTGAGTCCCCAGCACCTGGCACATAGTAGGTAATGGCTGGATGAATAAATGAATGAATATCTAAATATCATCCCCRATCCTAAATTACTATATCAGGAAGAAACCAACAGCAAACAAATAAGATCCTCCAAAACATCGCATGCCCTTCAGTGACCTTGCCTCAGAGAATACTAGCCCTGGACTCACAATGATCCATGGGACAGGATGTCCTGTCACTGTGCCGGAGTCTACTCCACCGTTCCCTTTCTTGCTCTGCTCTAGCCACACGGGTCTCCTTACTGTTCTTTGAGCCCTCCAGGTACCCACTCCGTAGCCCTCTGGTTCTTTTTGCCTTCCTTCTGGAAGATTCTTCTCCCAGATGTCTGCATGGTTTACTTTCTTCACCTCCTGCAATGCCCCGCTCAAACACTGCCTTCTCTGTGAGCCTCCCCAACCACTTGACCTCCACCCGATCTCTGCCTCCACTGCTTCATTTTTCCTTATGGTACTTGTCTTCATCTGATATGCTGTTTGTATTTTACTTATTTATTTATATATTTATTTTTTAAATTGAGTTTTTAAAAATAAATGACAGCGGAGTGCATTACAATTCTTATTACACATATACAGCACAATTTTTCATATCTCCGGTTGTATATAAAGTATGTTCACACCAATTCGTGTCTTCATACATGTACTTTGGTTGCTGCAAGAGTWTAGGGACTGTCTGCTTTTATAATACTGGATTCCAAAGCCCATGACAATGTCCGGGTGATCACAGGTCCTTGAAGACAATGGCAAGTGAACGATTGAGTGATGAGTGATTGTGACCCTGTGCCCCCCCCACATCTGACCAAATACAACTCTGGTGGCTCAAGCAGGTGACAGGGTAGTTTTTGCCTGCCTTAGGGAACTTCCCCTCCACTCACATGCTCCTGGCAAAGCTGTCATTTACTGCCCCCATCCATCAACACCCCAAGCACTCCCACAGGAGTGAGCACCAGACTAGGGCCAAGCCAATCTTATCACTGGGACGCTAGACACAGCCATGGGTTCAGGAATGATCATTAGATTCAACCTGGGCCAATCAAAATCTTCCCTGAGGCTTTTCTATATGATGAGCTCTTTTCATCAACTCTGCTAAGCTTGAGAAATGAGGATCTTCTTGTCCTTCACATGGAGAAATCTTGTCTGGAGAATGAAATCAAGAAAAAACAATAAGAACCAAGAGATGGAAAGAGTGAGCTCTGATAATATTGTATAGGTCCATAGAGTCGAGTTCTCTCTCTCTCTCTCAGCCTCTCTCTCCATCTCCCCAACTATCCACCTACCTGTTTAAATCAATTTTTCCTCCTTTTTCTCTTTCTCCCTCCCTCCCTCTGTTTTTTTCTCCTTATAAAATTAGTTTGAATTGGATGTTCTGCTCCAGGAACCAAAAGCTCAGAGATATTAGTTCTG